GCCTCAGTTAGGAGAGCTGAAGCTGTCCTCAAATCGCTTCACCGGGGCTCTTCCGATTGAATTGTTCAATTGTTCTAAACTGCTAGTGCTTTCCATGAGTGAGAATTCTCTCATTGGAACCCTCCCTGCTGAGATTGGTAACCTGGAATCGCTTAATGTCCTAAACCTCGACCACAACCATTTTTCAGGTCCAATCCCTCCTGCCATTGGGAAACTAGGCAAGCTGTATGAGCTTCGGCTCTCACAGAACAGATTTGATGGTGACTTGCCTTATGAGCTTGGACAACTCCAAAATCTTCAGAGCATTTTAGACCTTAGTTACAACAATTTGAGTGGTCAGATTCCGGCCTCTATTGGGACTCTGTCAAAACTTGAAGTGCTTGATCTATCTCACAATCAACTAATTGGCGAAGTCCCTTCCCCAGTTGGTGGGATGATTAGCTTGGGAAAGCTTAATCTGTCTTACAACAATCTGCAAGGAAAGTTGAGCAAGCAACTCTCGCACTGGCCGGCTGAGGCTTTTGAGGGAAACTTGGATCTTTGTGGAAGCCCTCTTGGAAGCTGCATTGGCAGAAAGCAGCAGTCTGATCCAACAGAATTGGCAGTGGTAGCCCTTGCTGCAATATGTACTCTATCTGCAATTGCTCTACTGATATTCGGAGCTGCTTCTCTCCTGAAACACAAGCGAGAAGCTTTTCGGAAAGCCCGTGAAATGAACTTCTTGTACTCGTCCAGTTCTTCCCATGCTCAGCGAAGACTGCTTTTCTCAAACGGTTCTGTCAAGCCAGATATCAAATGGAAAGACATCATGGACGCCACAAAGAATCTGAGCAACGAATTTGTAATTGGCTCAGGAGGGTCGGGAGTAATCTACAAAGCTGAACTGCGAACAGGAGAAACTGTGGCAGTCAAGAAGATTTTGTATAAAGATGATCTTATGGCGAACAAAACCTTCACTAGGGAGATTAAGACACTTGGGAGGATAAGACACCGGCATCTGGTGAAGTTAATGGGGTACTGCAGCAACAAAGGAGCAGGATCCAATCTGTTAATATACGAGTACATGGAGAACGGAAGTGTGTATGATTGGATACACCAAGAGCAAAGTAACAAGAAGAAGAAGAGCCTTGATTGGGAGGCACGGCTAAAGATTGCGGTTGGATTAGCTCAAGGAGTGGAGTATCTCCACCATGACTGCGTGCCAAAGATCATCCATAGGGACATTAAGTCGAGCAATATTTTGCTAGATTCGAACATGGAGGCACATCTTGGGGATTTCGGCCTTGCCAAGACACTTAACGAGAACAACGAGTCTAACACAGAATCTAATACATGGTTTGCTGGATCCTACGGGTACATAGCACCAGGTACTAATCAGTTATGCTTTGAATTATGTTCTTTCTTGTACTTCGGATACCGAATTTAGAGTTTGATTTTGACATGAATGATCTATGCGTTTGATTCTAACTATATGTCATATGATTTCAGAGTATGCTTATTCACTCAAGGCATCAGAAAAGAGTGATGTCTACAGCATGGGGATTGTGCTAATGGAGCTTGTAAGCGGGAGAATGCCGACAGATTCATCTTTCGGCGTGGAGATGGACATGGTGAGGTGGGTCGAGATGCATATTGAAATGCAGGATTCTACTCGTGAAGAGTTGATAGACCCTGCACTGAAACCACTCTTGTCCGGAGAAGAAAACACCGCGTTCCAGGTTCTTGAAATTGCACTGCAGTGCACAAAAACCAGCCCGGCAGAGAGGCCTTCGTCACGAGAAGCGTGTGATCAACTACTACATGTGTTTAATCATCGGTCGGTGGAGTTTGAGAAGACGAATTTAGATTCTTACACATAAGTAGTGAATCATATTTTAGAAGATTGATGAAAATTTGTTGTTAATATAAATATACCACTCCGTCTAAGAGAGTAACTAGGACCAATTCAGTCGCGTTTCCATTCATTTGGTTTGATTTGGTTTGGGCTAGCAACTGCAATGCAGCATTTTGTTGCAGGGTGCCACTGATGCGAATATTGTTTTTGCTTGAGGCAATCATATAAGATTGTTTTGTGAAAGTTTATATTATCACCTGTGAATCAACCGTCGAGTTTGAATCCCCCAGTTGGGCAGGGCAGCGTACCCACCCCTTTGCACAGAACTTCTAATCCCGAATCTCGTAGATTAGAGTAATTTAAAATATAACCTTGTCAAAACAGAAAGTGAATGGTTGTGGAACTAGTATCTTTTCGTCACAGTTGACACATTAGAACAAAAACCTAGAAACCAACAGGAGTTGGTCCAACTGCTCCTAAAAACTCTAACTAAAAGACGGATTCATTCAGGTTTGTGAGTGATAAACAACTTCACAAAGTATATAACCAAACCACTTTGCAAACAAGAAAGAGAACTGTTGCAACCAATTCGAAGGATCCGCAAAGGACGGATTTGTACTTGCAGCTAGGAGGACTGAATTCATTCCGTTTGTTATTAAAGAAACGCCGTTCAGCTTTGCAATATGAAAGTATTTCAAAGCTTATGCATCACAAAAAGATCAGAAAATTGGGAAAGTTTTTACAGCAGCCTTGCAAACATATCAGCATTAATTTCAAAACAAAAAGTGCCTAAAACTTTAAGGCCGAACCGTCTCTTAGAGCATGGAACCCTTCTGAAAATGCCACAACACACTGAGTCACGAGCTAATCATCATCTTCATCTGCAGATAGACGAGAAATATTAAGCAGGGAAAAAAACCGTAACAATATGCTTGCACAGATTAAATCACAAAAAATTCTCCGTCTTACTTCCTGAGTTATACATAAATGATAAAATGAAAAGAATACCAATCAAATTAGTTCAATCATAAAAGTCAATTAATGGAAAAAAAAATTGTAGTGGACCAACCAAGGAGAGCTGTTAATGCTAGAGACTACTTATGCACCCAAATAAAAACACAAAACTGCTAAAGCAATTCAAATTCTAGTGTAACACCAAGTATGCAATAAGTTAAACGCCCTTGGCATTTCTTCATATTTTTACCAAGCAGAAGATACAAGAATGAATGTGTGTCCCAACAAAATCCACAAACCGTAAGGGCTCGGTTGGTGAAAACACTTGCTACCAAGTTTTCCATGCCGGATCACTTCCACATGTAGAACTGTACACTTTACCATTTATTCACTGATGAGTAGATTATCTTTTACATTGACCAAAAAGGAATATCTTTTATACTTCCAAAAGCAAATAATCCTAGGGGTGCTTAGCAAGTCTGGAGGCATAGGGATATAATTCAGAATTTTAAGCTTAAGATATACTGAAACATAAAGGATGAAGGGATCTGACAGACAAAAGATGTGGAAGAAAAATCATCTGATGGGTCAATTTAATTAGAGGAAAGCTAGAAGGGATGAAGGGAGTTGAAAGCAGGGGTAGCATGAGGGCATAAAGTAAATTCAAAGCATTCAACCATAGTCTAGTCGAGCACAACAGAGCTTAAAGTAAGGACCAAACCAGAATCCAAACGATTAGCAAAAGAAGAACTCCTAATAGATAAATAATCCCAAGGATCAGTACATTCCCTCACAAAAGTTTGTTTTGACCCATAATCATTTTAACAATTCAAAAGAAAAAAAAAATTGCTTATTAATAGTATCCTTCTTCATGGTTTTGTCAGTTAGGGGCGGGGTAAATGTGGGGGTCAACAAATGGAAAATGATTCACTGACAATATTTCAGACCTAATTTCAGTTCGATGATTCAAAATGATCCCAATTTTTCAGCTCACCATATAATATAGGAAATTAAGAGGAACACCAAACAATAAGATGAAAAACTAATAAGGGACTACATGCACAAATTCTTTAGTCTTTGCCTTTAAAGCATATAACAAGACACACGATGGATTAGATGACTGTAATAAAAGGAAGAAAAGAAAATATTCTTCTCAATCATCCTTACTGTAAAACAAAAGTAAAAAAAATACTACAAAATTTATAAACAGTAAGATTATCTAGTAGACTGATAGGCCAATACGACCTTGGCATCACGTTCAGAGATTAGGTAGCCCTGTATCACAAGGACTGGGATTTCCTGGTTAGGAATATCGAAATTGTCTTCTTAATTCACATTTATATAAAGATCCCACCTTTTTAATGAACAACCTTGAGCTAGAGAGCAAGGAGGGACAGGAAAAGAAAGAGTGACAATAAGGGGGTGTATTCAATTGACAATTTGAGAGACTTTAATGGATTTATAAATTCAGCATTCCCACAATATCCAACATAATTTCACCTAAAACGTTTTAATTCAGAATTCCCACAATATTCAAACCACAATTACAGGCAAATACCATCTGAAAACAGTATTCTGATCCATCAAACGAGACATGGGGTTCTAATATTAATCATAGCGTGTTTCAAAATTTAGCAAATCATCTAAATAATGAACTTATCAAAATTAAGCTCAAAAATTGAGAGGCCAAAACACAAATGGGATTGTTGGGTTGTCGAAAGATACAATCTTGAGTCATGAGAAATTGAGAAATGAACCAATTGTTAAATTGGGTCAGAAATGTTTACCTATGTAACGGCGTTCGTTGGCGGCCTTGGCCTTGTCGAGCATCTTATCGAGGTCCACTTTGAGCTGCTCGTCCCATTTGACGAGCTGGTTAACAAAAACTGCGCCCAATCCCATGCCTAGAACGTGCTCCCAAGGATCTGAATCGGATCATTCGACAAATTGGGGGGTTAGGGTTCATGAGTCAATTCAATCACCTGAGAAATGAAACGAGAGAGAGAGAGAGAGAGAGAGAGAGAGATGAAATTTACGGCGCATGTAAGGGAGCTTGCGGAGGGCGTTGGAGTACATCTGGGTGCCCAAACCCAATAGGGCTCCGACCATCGTTGAAGTTATCGGCATCTTCAAAACTTTTCTTTCAGTGCTCACTCTCTCTCTCCTTCTCTGCGAAGCTAAAATATATTACTTTAGTCTAAAGAAGGCTTTCCAATTGCACTGTATCAATGAACAGTTTTTAGGTCCGAATTTTACTTTATTTACGAGGCTGCCACTGACTCTATCTGCCACTGATCTTCATGCCGCGTGTTGATGATCGTGGAAAGGCAGGGGTGCGATGGTCATTTTGGTCTGTATGGTTTCGAACGGGTTGGGTGGGTTGGAGACTTTCATTTCCTTCTTTCTGTGAGCTGCAGTGGCACTCAGTGAGTGCATGCCGTCGGGAGAGAGAGAGCGAGCGAGCAGAGAGAGACAGGGAGGGAGAGAGATAGGGATTTGGTGAGAGGAAGGCATGCGGCTTGCAGGCAGACAGAGTCACAGGGGGTGTACGATTCGAGGGAGAGAAAGGGGTTGGTTTCGAAAGTGTGATTTTCGTCGGCAAGAATTCTAGGGTTTGTGACGTTTCTTACACATTTCAAATCTCCTTTTGTCTTCGAATTCTCTCTAATTTATTGCTATGTGATGCAACTCTTATTCTGTGTATTTTACTGATCAATCGAACATGCAAATGTAGTGATTGAAGCCTTTTGTTGCTGGTTTCCCTTCGATTCAAAAGGTAAGCTTTCTTTCAATTCCTAGGTTACTGTTCGAATAAACCTAGATTTTAACTGTTAATGATTTTTTCTAATAAATTAGGGTTTCTTGCATTGTATTTTTTTGTCGCTCTCTTGGTCTCTTTGCGTCTCGAGAACCTAATTGCAGGTTCCTTTTCCATCTTCAATCTTTGCTTTTTCGTTTTTTTTATTATGGTGCTTTTCTATTTCCAAGTTCTTATTTGTTTTAATAAGCTTTAATTTCGTTTGATTAGCTTTAATTAGATTAGATTTAGAGTATGTCTATGCTTTGAAGCCCTGGCATTTCCAGGCTGTGATTTGGTTTGAGGTTTTGTGCTTGGCTTTGCTTCTGTGCATAAAGAAATTTAAGTGTTTTCTCGATATAAGTGTTTTTCTCAATTTGTTTTGTTCTGTGCATTTAAATTTAATTGTTTTTCTCAATTTTTTTTGTAATTTGTTTTTCTCAGTTTCGGTTATTTGAACAAATAAATCATGTTCTGTTTTTTATCATGTTGATTCAAAGAATGGCCCTTTCTCTTGCCAATCATTTAAACCTAAATGATTAAAAACAGTTCACATTTGCTTCCATTTCCAAGCTGTCATTTGGTTTAAGGTTTTGTAATTTGCTTTGCTTCTGTGCATTTCAATTTCAATGTTTTTGTCAATTTGCATTTCTATTTGCATATTCCAGTAAAGATAGATATTTTTTGGCCAGCCAAAAGTATAAAATGTCAATTTATTGGAGGTGCTTTTCATTTTGTGATTTTGTTTTATTCCAAGATTTGTTGACCCAATTGCCATTTTACATTTAAGTTAAGTTTATTCCAAGGTTTTTCATTTATGCCTCTGTTACTTTAAAGCTTCATGTTTCTTTAAACTTTTTTTTTTTACAAGAATCTAGGATGAAACCGTGCCAAACTTGGCATTTGGTCATTCAAACAATTGAATGAAAGAAGAAAATTATGGCAAAAGTGGTTGTTTGTGAATGATTGGACATAATTTTGTTCTTTCATTCAATTGTTTGAATGACCAAATGCCAAGTTTAGCAAGGTTTCATCTGTGCCCTATATTCTTATCAGCCAAGCATCACTGTTAATGATTCTGGATTCATATGGCTGTTGATTTGAAATTGCTTTTCACGTTCTGTGTTTAAATAGGGAGGTTAGTGGGATTTGTTTTGATAAGTCCCTTTATCTCTCGATGTGAAGCCCACAAACCAAGTAATGACGGTTGAAAGCCTTAAACATGGCGGGCGCGAAATGGAGGTACAGTGACGATTGACAACCGCCTCCGTTGTCGATGAATTTGGCCGTCAGAAAGCATCTTACGGTATGTTGAATTTCTCGAATTTCCCTTATTTGGGTTTCCTCTATCCTTTTTGCGTTTGATTGGGAGTTTATAAATTAGGGTTCTTGGGGATTTTAAGGTTTTCTGACTCTTTTTTTTCTTCGGAAATTGCGCTGTATTTCTCAGATTGGAGATGTTACGGGTGGAGGCAAGCTAGAGCTGGTATAGATTACGAATATTAGTTTTGCATAGCATTGTAATTTTGATTGGTGAGATCATCCTAATTTAGAAAAAGAACAGCCATCTTTCAATTCAATAGTAGAGGACCTCATTCAAATATGAGTTTGGCATAGCACTATTAATAGTGTGTGTAGTTGCAGAATTCCTATTTTGATTGGTAGCTTTGTCATTTTTTGTTAAGTTGATTTGAATTTATACCGAATTTACTTAAGTTTTAGTGGAATTATTTGCTTTTTGGTATTTCAAATCTTTGGATGGAGTTAGTCAAGAGGGGATTGTAATTTTTCAAATTTAGGCTCGACAAATGATTGAAATTTTGAAACTTTAGGCAATTGAAGGCGTTTGATTTGAGTTTTCGTATTTGATTCAATATGTAGTGTATGTGACTGATTATGTTTTTGGTTAAGGATTGGGGATTTTGGGTGATTAGGTTTTAGTTTCTAGCTTTTGGGTTTTTGGGTATATTTTGTGTGTGTGTGTGTGTGTGTGTAAGAGAGAGATTGGAGATCCAATCGCAGCGACGAATTGAAGAAGATGAAGATCATAGTGATGAACGGAGAAGACCATATCCTCTCCTTAGACATCGATCCTTAAGAGAATGTAAAACCCTTACTTTTCACTTCAGCAAAAACCCTCAATTGATTTTATAGTTCTTTCAATTAATTTCGAAGTTCAAGTTCTCCTTTTTTTCACTTGAATTTGATTTTTATTTCTTTTTTGTGATAGGTTGAAAATGTGAAAGCTCTGCTAGAGGTGGAGGTGAGAAATTTAATTGAATTCATGATTTATTGTTGTTTTTTCAACTTTATTTTTGTGGGATTGTGCTGTTTTGGGGGAAAACAACATTAAATTGAAGTAAAGTTTAGGTCTTTCTGTAATTGGGATTTAGAGTAAGAGATGAAGAACTGAATATGATTGTAGAAAAAAGTTCAAAACTTTTTTGGTTTGGAATTAAATTCAGTTAGCTGATTAGTTAATAGAGAAATGTATAACGAATGCATGATATGTTTTTTGACGCGTTTGAGCAGACATGGGTGCTGCTTCAGCGGCAGCATCTGCTATATAATGTGTAAGGAGATGAGGAATTCTAAGATGTGGAGTGCTCTTGGTGTCGGAGATGAAGACTTGAAAATGATCGTATCCAATGCCGCCTCGAGGTATACTTGATAATGTTGTTTTATATGCAATTCACTGTATGATGTTCATGCGTTTAATTGGAGGGGGGAGGGGTGATGTCGGTGTCACAAAGAGGTTCATGCGTTTAATTGGAGGGGGGAGGGGTGATGTCGGTGTCACAAAGAGGTTTGCATGGTTTGCAGTCACAGGGGTGGGTGTAGGATTTCAGGGAAAAAAAAGGGGGGACTGAGCGGTGATGCTCGAATTGGGGGGAGGGGGGGTGTTGTTTCTGCATGTGTGGTCTTTAGTGAAATATGGATCCATAACAACTTTAAATTTTTGCTTTTTACATGCTTTGCTACTCTTTAATTGTTCAAGTTTGTCGATCGATTGATGGGGTTTTCTCTCAAATCATGAAAAGAAACCATATCTATGAGAAGGCCATGCTGTGTTGAAACTCTAAATTTCACTCTTTAGACCCTCTTTGACTTGAATTCATAGCCAGTGTGACTGCCTTTGCAAATTGAATTCAATTTTTAGCTCGGCAGAAGGTGTTTAAATTGGTGCAACTTTCCACTTCTCGGTTCTCTAATCCTAGAGTTTTGGTTTTTTTTTTTCCTCTCTTCCTCTTAGTACTTTGATTTGGGGTGACAATGATATACCCTGATCCACAACACCACAAACAACAGCACTCTCAACATCAGCACCAACATTTGCAACAACACCAGCCGCGTCAGCAGCAAGGTGGATATTTCATAGCCCCCCCCGCCACCAGCCCCAATGATGCGTCAGCCGTCGGTATGCCCCCGGAGTATCACAACCCATCTGTGCTCGCTCATCCTCTTCCTCCTTATGATGGTTTGTACCAAATTATGCCTTTGTCTTTGCTATTTTGTTCTGGTTCTTTTTTGTTTCGGTTGGAAATTAATGGAGAATAAAAGAAAACAATTTGAATTGTGGGTAAGTACCTAAACAAGAATTTGGTTGCATTATACTTCTATTGTTGATTGGGATTTTCAACTTTAAAGCGCATTAAACCCTTAGAATTGGTTTTGGATCTTGAAGTTAATTGAGATTTGCAATTTAAAAGGGTGGGCCAGTGAGGCCAAGGGTGTAAATGATATTTGAAAATAGTGGTTTAATTTTGTTAAGAGGTTTAGTGCAGAATTTAATAAATTTTCCCTTTTTTTTATAATGAGTGACAAATGGTTTGTTTGTTGCAGCTCATGCTGACACTTTTCTTGGATAAAAGATGAGAAAGCTTACACAGAGGAGAGTAGTTGATTATACTAGCACTGTCGTGCAATATATGCAGGTAAAGTATTCATTTTTTTTATACTTTTGTTCTTCTCTCTTTGACTTTCTTACCGTCATCATTTCAGCAAGAAGTCGTCTTTTAATTTGACAGGCACATGTAATTTGGGTGTGCATTTATTTGTTCATTTTTCTATGTTATATGAACCTGTATATTTTAAAAGTTGTCATGCGATATGGTCTTATCTCTTCTTCAGGAATGGAACATCATTTTAACATCTGTTCCGGCCCAGTAAACAGTCCAACAGACCTCCCTGGAACAACCCAACCAGAACAGCTAAACACCACACTAAAATTAAAAATAAACTCCAGTCCAGATATTAAACTCACAAAAGATCACTATGTTATGTCCTTTGGATATGTCTGTTTCATTTTAGGTGTAAATAACCTTTTTAAGGATTCAGGTTGTGATTGTCTCTTAAACATGCAAATTTATATTAGTGATCAAGTATCCTAAAATCATTTATTATTTGTCAAAATGGTGAGTTTCTCAATACAGTTTTAATTTTTGTGCGAATAATGTTTGTGAAAAGTGTGTTTTTATTTAGTTCATTGCAAATTCTTATTCTTTTATGTAGTTCACCATTCATGCTTTTAAAGATAAGAAGTGCAATGCTTTCTCAGATGTTAGTTTTGGGAGGCAAAGTTTTGAGCGTTTTGCATTAAATGTCCTATTTCGGACAAAATTTTGTGTTTTAAGATGTAATGAACAAATTGTTGCTGGTTGGGTTTTGTGTTGTTGCGAATTTACTTGAAATCCTCACTTGATATCCCATTTATGCTTCCTATGCTTCCTTCTGCATAAGGACCAACCCTGGACATCCATTACTCATACACTTCCTCTACTTTATAGCAGGCTGTGCTACCGAATTTGAGTTAATTTCTGTAATTTTTTTGTTAATTGTTGAATTGGCTTCTAATGATATATTTTTGCCTTTTTAATTTACTGAGAAATTGATGAAATTAGAATGGAAAGTTATTTATTTGGTCAAAATAGTTGAAAATTCACATTGCTTAATGCTATTTTATTGGTTGAGGTTGAATTTGGTACTTTTCCTTGGGATGCAAAATTTGTACTGTAATATTAACTGGATATACTCTACTTTGATCTACCTGTTTAATGGGCAATAATCTAACTATCTGCTGAGTTGAAATTAGTCAAATAGGTTCTTTATTGACTGGGCTTAATAGGTTTTTGGTGGCATTTTTTATGAAGGTAACTTTTTGGTGGGTTTTGTGTTTACAGTAGTGAATTTTGGGTGATTATGTCAGTGGCTTTTGTATTTGGGTTTGGGTTTGATGAGGTTTGTTCTGGATGATTGGTTGTCGGTTATGAACTTACTTTCTTGGATTTTTTTATATTTTGTTATTTAAATGTGATGTATTTTTTTTTGGTGAAGAATTAAATGGGATTTTGTGTAATGTACTACTAAGATGAGTGCTTTGTTTCCAGTCCATTATGGGTACATAATCTGATCTCCTGATAGGGGCATCACCTGAAAAGGTATCACATGATTTGATTTCAGTTCAATGTTTTTTTCATTGTTCGGGGTTGTTATTATCAATGTAGAAGTTTTGTTCTCTGTTTGAGGTTCTGAATTATTTTGATAGAAAGTTTCGAACTTTATGACTTACGATGAAAAGAATAATTTAACTAATTTCATATAATGCAATTTCTGTTCTTGCAGTTTGTCAGGAGCAATGTCGGTTGTTGAAACACCAGTTGTGAGAGTTTGTGCGTCACCTAACATAAAACAAAGAAAGTCTTCACACCAAATGGATGGGAATCGGTAAACCATTCAGAACCTAAAACTCATTTCCTTGGTAATCTCCATTACTTTTTGAATTAGTATTGTTATTATTATTATATTTTTTGCCCACAAAGAGAGCTTGATACTAAGAAAATGAGAAGCTTATGAAACCACAACAGGGTATAAATGGTCAAAAAATTTATCCATGTGCTCTATAATTACTGCATAAAAAACTAAAAACCTAGACCATTTGCTGAGTTGAAATTAGTCAAGTAGGTTCTTGATTGACTGGGCATAATAGGTTTGTGGTGGCATTTTTTATGAAGGTAATTTTTGGGTGGGTTTTTATAAACCCTTAACTGATAACAATGTGCGGCGGCACCAACAGTTTTGGACAAGAAACAAGTACCATTTTGCTTCATTGTTCCACAGTATTATGTAGAGATTGCTTTAATATCTTGGCTTCTTGGCTGTATGTCGGGTGTCAAAGATAGGATTTAGGAGATCTGGTTTAGGTTTTGCAGAGAGAGAGATAAGGGGTGTTCGAAAGAAATGTGAGAGGATTTAGGTGAGGGATTTCAGGGATTTGTTTAGGGTTTCTTTTTTGCGATTTGCAGACAGAGAGATGGGACAAGGGTGAGAGGGAGAGATGGGAGGATTTTCTGTGAGGGTAAAAGGGAACGGGTAAGGGAGGTATGAGTATGGGTAGGGGATGGAAAAGCATTTCGTTTTCCATTTGCTTCCTGAAACCCGAGGGATTTCTGCGATTGCAGAGAAAGATGGGGGTGTCCGTTAGGTGCCCTTTAATTGTCACTTTTGTGATTTGTCCATCCTTGATTGTTGTGTGATTCATTCTGATGAACGTTCTATGCACAAGGTTTCATATTATTCCTTCCTTTTAATATTGATATTGTTGTGCTTAATTTCTGTCCGTTTTATTGGGTGATTAAATTAACAGACCTTGGATATTTTGGTATAATAATTTCACATCACGTGTTGCCCTTTTGCATCACCTTAATTGTTCGTCAGATGCTAACTTTTAATTATGTTTTCTTTGGGTCAGTCTCCATCTGGTAAATTTGTCCATCCTTCTGGAGTGGAGCACTATCTTTCTGACAGCATAAATGCTCTGAGAAACTGCTATGAGGACAAACAGTTGTTTACTCTGTTGTAGGTATGCTTTTCTTTAGTATTTTAGAGGGATTCTAACTCTTTCCCATTGTAATCTTAACCTTTGTATCTCTCTCTCAAAAGACGATGAGAGTAACAACTGTTGAAAAGTAAATTCTCAGATGTATCTAAGCTTATACATACATTGGACAAAAACCGAATCTTACATTGGGGCAGTGAGTTCTGCAACATCCTGGTGCTGCATGTATTGTCACACTTTTAAAAGTTGTATTTCTCATATATCTTGGGAATTTAATTAGTTTTATGTCATTTTCGTAGGGCAATTTAGTAGAGATTTAGCACATAAAAGAAGATGTGTGAATCAATACAATTAACCTAATAGTGATTTGGTTCAACGTAAAGACTACTGCTAGGGCACTCAAGTCATTTTCTTAATTTATGCGCATATATATTATACGTAACCAACACATGTTTTCAAAGGATGTTAGTGTTCATGCTCTGCTGATATTTTATTCTGTTCATTTTGATTTTGTTTTTCAGTTGTGGTTATAGGATTGTTCTCTTTTTTTTTTTCTTTTTTTCCCCTCTGTACAACTTTTCTAAAATTCAACAGTTGTTCTCAATTTGGTTATTTGAACCGAGGTCAGTAAGGCTGTGCCTTTGGAAGGTCTCACTGCTTTTAAAGTTGAATGGTTCTAACTGAATATAATGCGTTCATTCTTCAGTGTGTGTGAGTGTGTGTATGCAGCGTATGTGAGTGCATGCAGTGTGTGCAGTGTGTGCAGTGTCACTTCGGCCGTTGGCTTTTTGAGGTATGTTCATTTATAGAGATTTTGTAACTGTATTGTTGAATTTTTAATGCATGCTTGGATTTTAAAGGGGCACCGTATTTATGGGTTGTTGTACGATTATAGGGAGATAAAAGAGGGGATTGAGAGGTCATGCTAAGGAGAGTATATTACTTGCCACTGAGGAATATACTTTATATAATAGCAATGTGATGATGTGTGGCATGCTTTAACTAAGGGATATTTTTGTGTAATAAGAAAGCTATATAGAGTCACATTTTTTGTTTTTTGTTTTTTATTTTGGATTTGGTAACTAAAATTTTACATGTGAACTACATGTTTCTTCTGTTTCGTAAGGAAACAGAACTTTTTTTAAAACCATCTCTTTCTAATCAAAGACGTTCAGTTTCTTCCCACTCATTGTACAATGTGTTTATATGTCAGCTCATTTGAATGTATATAAAAAAAAAACTGTTTGTTCATAATTGTAATGAATTTATTCAACTTAAGTGTGTTTTATTCATCCAATTACACTTGAAACAACAGGTTCCCGCAGCAACGCGCGGGCTTATTTTCTCGTGAATGCTATTAAATTGTCACCTGACCTCTCGCCAAATTACATTTGTCACCTAAAAATGAGAAAATCTTTTGAAACGCCCCTTTTGAGAATTAATTTCAATTTAGCAACTTCAATTTTTCACCAAATAGCATGTTCGTACACTAAAGGGAAAGGGATTCCTTTCCATTAAATCCACCTAGTCCTGATCAGGACCGTTGCTACAACTATTATAACTTTTAAATAGGTTCCCTGTTAGTAAATGTTGGATCAAATTTCAACGGTCCGGATCCCGAACTAAGTGGATTTGATGAAAAATGATTTGGAGTAAAGAATATAAATTATCACTAAAACCGATATAGTAAGTAGTTACCATATTGTTTTATTGTCAAAAATATCTCGTGGAACTTTAATAAGATAATATCGCTCGACTCGAAAAATTAATAAAAATTATAATCAAACATCAATATTAGCCTAAAAGTAAAGTGGAAACTAAACAACGGGTATTAGTTGTTGATTATTCGATATTAACATAGTCCTTATAGGAAATGATGGATGAAAAAATTATTCGTCATTGCACAGATATTAATGAAAATATTCAGTGTTTATGCTATCGATATTGATAAAGAGGTGAATTATTTTTAAGTTCTGATAGTAATGACGATATGTCAGTGAAATTATGTATCATTATTGATTATTAATATTAACAGAGTCATTATATGAAGTTAATTGATATGAGTACATACTTCCTGGCTACCTGCTGAGATGCTCGTCATCTATTTGGTAAGTGAATAAGCATTTTACTTTCATCAATAGTTTGGCGATGATATAATATTACGATATGAAAATTACACTAAATTTTTAAAAATTACGGGTAACACATTATTCTAACTAATTTGATTATTACCAGACTTACACAGTAAAACAATATTTGAGTAATAGTCATTTTTTCTTTCTTTCAAATGATGTTAGTCATTAAAAGTCATTAAATTTAAAATAAAGTTATCACTCATGCATTGTAATTTTTGGCGATATAATGAATACGGATGATGACCCACTGTCTACTTTTTCTTTCATAATCAGGAGAGATTTTTCAGTGTGTTCAGAACATGGACAGTTTTTTTATTTTTATCAGTATACCATATGTTATTATACAAGTGAAGGGAAGTTTTTTTTTTAAAAAAAAAAAAACCCTAACGATAGCTATTGTATTATTCAGGGGAGTTTTAACGAAACATTTTTGGTACTGTTCACTTTTAACCAAACGATAGCAACATTCTGTGTTATAATATTGCATTGGACATGCTAGAAATGTCACAAAATCCAACCTAAAAAGATAAGAAAACACCAAAAACAAAAAATTGGATGGAGCGTTGACTCGAAAAATGGCATTGAAGGTGGAGCAAACAGAATTCAAAGGCTAGTGTGTTAATATGGTAATCTAATCAATGCAATTGTTAATATGCTACAACCAAAAATTTATAACCATCGACTCAAATGGATCACCCTTACAATAAATATCGTGCTATAGGAGATGAACATGTACATATAAAACACATCACCCCCTCTTCGTTGGTCGATGTGAGATGTTACACGAATTGAGTGTTTTGGATTACCCCTTATTTTTCAAATTACTTACTTTTAATCTCGGTTTCTAAATCGAAACAAATCTAATTGTTCTTTTTTATGAATATAGGTAAAAAAATAAGACAGATAATTGGGCGTAACCACTCTCGAAAAGAAAAAAGAAACAACCATATGGCCCTACATTCCCAACGGACTAAAAAGTAAAAACCAACGTCTCTCTCTCTTATTCAATCCCTATTTTTTCACACCAAATTTTCTCATTGTTTTAGCAGTGCAATTATGTCCTCCTCTGTTTCCATCCTCTGTTTTTTCCTGGAATCTCATGATTTGATACCCTAACCTTCAAATTTTGGCAATCCAAGACAAACCCACATAAAAATATACACAGAAAATCTCAAATTTTTGAACTTTTAACTGTTTTTTTGTTAGGTTTTTGTACAGCAAAAGGCCAACTCTGTTTGCTGTGTCTGTGCATTGGTGGTGGTTACAAAAAAGCGTGTCTAAAAATAGGCAAAAATTGCAAACAAGAATGAGGTATTATACGAGCGGATGACAAATTGTTTTGTTCCTAAGAAAGCTCCTCTGCTTTTGTGTAAAATTAGCGGCCTGTTTCTCTCCTCTCTCAGACTCTTTGGGATCATCCATTTTCTTCCTCTCTTCACATACAAGATTTTTCTTGTGAGGTTGGATTCTTTGTTTTCAATCCCCCCACCAGTCGAATTTTCGATATGTGTTCTTTAATTTCTTCCTTTTGGTTTGGATTTCAGGCTGCTCTGAAAATTCTGTAGTTTTATGTAATTACAGTAATTGCTTCAGACCATTTGAATTCTGAGATGGCATCATCACAAGTTGAAATGGCGTCTTCTGCGCCTTTCGGGTGCGTGTTGAGGGATCACAACCGGCGAGACAGGTGCCGAGAGAGAAATGCCAGGGCCACGCAGGCCGCTTTTCAGAAGAATTTGAATAGCTTGGTGAGGAATCACCTCACCACCTGCATTTCTGTCTCTTCAATATCTGCCTCCAGTGACAAGGAAAGCAACAACTCCAAAGACCGAGACATTGAAAATGTCGAAAGAGATGGTGGTTGTTCGACAATGAGCCCGAGGCAGTCTCGGGTTCTTGATCGACAGGCTGCGAGACGAGGAGGGAAAGAAGGAATGGCAATGGTTGAGAGGCAGAGCCAAGAGGCAGAGCTCATGTCAGTGCCTAACTCCGAACCTTCATCATCGAGGACATCGACATCTTTGAAGGAGACTCTTTTCAGAACGGATAGCTTGGCGAGAATTTACAATCTGGGAGTTGGAGCTTCCTCGCTGGTTCAAATATGGGAGAAGAGGCTGAACCAATCAAACAGTTTCAAGATGAGTTCCAATGGCAGCGCAGAGACAAGCAGGTCTAACTCTGGATTCAGCTGCAATGAGAATGAGAACATATTCAATGCTTCCAATGAATCCAGTGCTTCCAATGAGTCCACTGGTTCAAATGCACCAGTTTTCGAGAAACAATCATCGAGAGGGTCTGAAGCAGGGGACTCGGTTTGTGTTGATGAGAGGTATGACACCGGCCCGGTTGCTGAGGATTCATTTGAGGACACACATTCTGAGGAAAGCACCACAAGTGATGCCCTGAGTAATTTAGATGCAAGGGAAAGAGAAAGAGAAAGGGAGAAGGTTCGTGTTGCGGATATCATTAAAAGGTTGAAAATGACAGCACAGTGTCCATTATCTTCTAGTGATGACAATGATCAGCAGTCTTGTACCAATGCATCTCCGTCTAGAGAGCGCGATCATGAGAGGCTTTTCGGGTCTGATCAGACAGAGCAGCTGCACAAAGGGTTCTCTCAGGTTATAAGTTCACCGAGGATGATCAGAGGCAGGCAGGCTTTTGCTGATTTGCTTATGCACCTGGAGCGCGACCGACATAGGGAGCTTGACGCGCTTGTAGACCGCAGAGCAGTTTCAAGATTTTCACACAAAGGGCGAATTCAGGTGCGTTAATTATTCATTCATTTTTTAACTCAAGTTTTCTTAAACAAGCTTAGTTCTTAGTTTACACTGAATTATATTTAACCCTTTTCTTCCTTCTTTTCAAATTGCAAAGCAATTACATATTTACTTAGCATATTATGCTTGTTTGCAGTCAATGCTTCGGCTTAAACTGCTACAACGCCGCATGGCAGTGGCAGTAGGTCAAGATGTACCGCGCCGGAAACCAGCAACATCTAAAGTGAACAAACTTCCACAAGGGTCTGCCATCATGCATCTCAGGTACAGTGATCATTGAAACATGCCAAGATACAAGCTAGTTCTGATGCTAAATTTGCACTTTGCTCTCTGAAGTCTGAATGCAAGTTTTCTAATTAGTTTAAACCTTAAATAAAGTGAAGTTAGTTAAAGAAAAAGAACTTAATAATTGCACAGAATTGGAAAGAAATAAAATCTTTCAACTGTCATCACTTGTTCCTGAATAATATGAGGGTTTGTTTGGTGCTTCAGATTGTTTGATTGGATTACCATGAATACAGTGAGTTATCCAATCCAATCCTAGACACCAATCGAATCGTTAATGTACTGTGTGTGATTGGAAAAACGAAGTAACATTTAGATCATTTAATTTCAGGGAGAGATTTAGCACTGGTGTGGAGCAGGCCTCAACAGATCAGAGTGATGCAGCTATTCCAAAAAGCCCTCAAAAGGAGGTTGTAAAGAACACCAGTGTACTATCAAAAAGCTCCTCCACTCCCAATAAGCCTAGCAAAAACACTCTTAATCGTGACGTTGATAGAGTTGAGCAGAAGAATGCAACCGGGATGCAGACCTCATTGCCGCATGCTAGCGAAGATCTTCGTGAAGAAGTAGGCATGAGTTCAAAAGTCACCTGTCAAGAAACAAGTTCAGTGGCTACAAACACCTCAACGCAAGCTAGTAACGGTCTTCATGAGGAAGGTAGCCCAAGCTCAAAAGTCACCTCGGAAGGAACAAGTTCAGTGGCTACAAACAATTTTCCAAATGCTAGTGAAGATCTTCGTGATGAAGCCAGCCCGAGTTTGAAAGTCGCCTATCAAGGATCGAGTCCAATGGCTAGGAACACCACAACTCATGCTAGCGAAGGTCTTCATGAAGAAGCCAACCCGAGTTTAAAAGTCACCTTGCAGAGAACAAGTCTAATGGCTAGGAGTACCTCCCCTCATGGTAGTGAAGATCTTTGTGAAGAAGCGAGCCCGAGTTCAGAAGTCACCTTGCAAGGAACAAGTCCAATGGCTAGAAACACCTCACCTCATGTTAGTGAAGACCTTCACGAAGAAGTCAGCCCGCGCTCAGAAGTCACTTTGCAAGGAACAAGTTCAGAGGCCAGAAACAACTTACCTCATGCTAGTGAACATCCTCATGAAGAAGCTAGCCCTAGTTCAGAAATTATCTGGCAAGGAACAAGTTCAGAGGCCAGAAACAACTTGCCTCATGTTAGTGAAGATCTTCATGAAGAAGTTAGCCTGAGTTCAGAAGTTATCTGGCAAGGAACAAGTTCGAAGGCTAGAAACCTTGATGCGCAAGAAAATGCAGATGCAACCACATCCTTGGTTGGTTGGGGTGAGAATGAGATAGAAGAACAACTAGAGGATGATTACCAGTACTATGGAGATTATACTTATGACTGGATCAATGAGATTTCTCGCCCACGTAGCTACTGGGAAAACCTGAGAAAGGCATGGTACCAAGAGATGCTGAACTCCAACTCAGGCAAAGGGGAGATACGCCAACTTATCGAAAGGTACACCAGCATTGCTTCAACTTTTCGTGTTTTGGTTTAGTTGTAAGCTTCTGTAATAGTACAACCATATTTTTATGTTTTACTCATCTGAATTTCACATTGATCTATGCAGAAGAACAGTATCAAATTGTCTTGCAAGTGATTTCCGAGACAGAATAGACAGACTGATGGAATCTCGCTTAGAAATACAAGCGCAACCAGATGGCAGTCAAGAAGGAGAAGACGATGATATCAGCCACGATAGGATGAATCAATTGATGACTTTCTTACAAAAGCATCACCAAAAACAACAACAACAATTGCTGCCAGCATGCAGTCAAGAAGAAAAACAACAAGTGCAAGAACAAGAACACCAAGAAGAAGATCAGAACATGACAGAAGAAGATGATGATGACAATGATGATGAAGGAGGAGAAGAAAGAAGTCTAATTAGCGCTCAATATCAAGAAGCAAGTGATGATTTTTACCAATGCACATCATTGCAGCCATCGCCATCTCACATGACAGCATGGAGCTATCAAGATATAGAAGTGGGGGATGATGCTAATCGAGCTGCTTCTACATCTCCACCCCGACATTTGCCATCTCATTCTTACTATTCAAATAGTCACCAAGGTTCACCATCACCACCTCCATCATACCATCAAAATCACCATCACTTCTCTTCCCCTGTAAGTCATCCTTCAATTGTGAGTTTAACTTTTTCTCCTCGACAGTTGCGTCAACTTTGAGTTCATAATTTATTGGCCAGTAAAGAATCTAAGATAACACTTCTGAACTTGCAGGAAATGGAATTCATATATGACATGAGAGGGCAGATGGAGCAACTCTATCGTGAGATGTCGGAGCTACGAAAAGTAATTAAGAGCTGTGTAGACATGCAAATGGTAATGCAACAATCCATGAAGCAGGAAGTTCATTCAGGTTCGTGTTGTACTACTCATTCGTTTGTCTTAATTTAGGGCCTCGGTCAATTTAAAATGAATACCATAATTTGCACAAATGTATCAACTGAAAAAAGTCTTTAAAAAACATCCTTGCTCTTGTTAATTTGGTTTTTTTAGAACAGTTTTAAATACTCTTTCAAAGCAAAAATAGCGAGAATCAAAGTCTGAGTGTCTGCATTACTCCTTATTTTCGATCAGTTTCTTGACAGCACACTATTCTGTATGTTACAGGTCAAGAGGAGAGGAAAAGGTCTGCAAATGGATTACCAAAGAAAGGAAATTGTTGCATTTGCCATGAAGTGAAAGTCGACTCACTTTTGTACAGGTAACTTGTTATCCAACTAAGGCTTCTCATGTGAGTATAGATCTTTTCATTTCAATTTTTTGTTGGCTATAGTACTCATCTTGTGAGATGCCATTTCTGAAATTTACAGGTGTGGACACATGTGCACCTGTCTCAAGTGTGCTCATGAGTTGCAATGGAATAGTGGAAAATGTCCAATCTGTCGAGCTCCAATTGTGGATGTCGTGAAGGCACAGATGGATTACTAGACTCTACCAGCACCTGGTGAACGAGTTCTTGCTTCAGAGGACCGTCTTTCTTTCGAAAAACTCAACATAGTGAAGCATACAACATTGGAAGAGGAAGCTAATTTTGTTCATCTTTGCCTATTTACTTATCTGCTTTTTTTTTACATGTCAAAAGTCATCATGGGACATCATACATGGTTTCTCTTTTCCCACATATACTCTTGTGTGTATGTTTTTTTAGGAGAGACCCACAACTAACAAGCTCTACTATTTGTTCTTCATCTTGCTATATACAATTTGAGAAAATGTGCCGAATTTGTATTGTCATTCACCCATGTTAAAACATGTGAATCAGTATTACAATATGACGGCATGACTATTGCATCCAAATATTTCCGTAGTTGCAAGAGGTGATGTTGCTTAAAGGGTAAGAAACCAGAAGTAAAGCTGTGGGAGAGCAGTTCTCTTAGTCATAATGTATTTCAAATTAGTGTCAGTAAAAGCAGGTAATCCCTTTTTTTCAGCCAAAGACAAGAGTTGGTGTAATTTTACTGTTCTAGTGCAGGATTGTGATGTGAAGGGTTGTTTAACAAGTTTGCAGAAACAAACAGAATATCAGAATTATTGGATCTTGTTGGGGGACTTTCCTGTACATAGCAATAAAAGAATATATATGCATATATATATATATATATATATATATATATATATATTGCCCCCACAAAAAGAACCTGCAACTGTGAAAAATAAATAAAAAAAAACCCCTTAAAATATTGCCCCCACACGCTTAGTTTTATTTTTAGTGTTGTTTCTGTCCTTTTATACAACAGATGTGTGACTGTAAAACCATTAGAACAATCGAACTGCAGACTTGGATTTCTTTGTACGATCATTGTGAACTCAAGTTTGAATCCCTTTTTATGCTATCTTACTATTCACAATTCATAATTCAATTGTAATTAATTTTTCATGTATTGTTCTTGTCTAATTAAACAGAATGCAGTGGCCCCTGGGAGATACCAGCAACCCAGCAACAACCTTGACAACTAAGGCCATCTCCAACTGATCCGGTCAGAGGGTCATAAGTCGAAAATAGCCCGAAATAACACGAAAACCGTCTCCAACCGAAAGCTAGGCCAAATGGCTCATGGGCCCTACCGGGCCAACTAGCTAGCCCAAACCAGCCGGTCCAGCATTTTGAATCCCAACGACTACTTGCTGACGTCAGCTAGTCGTTAAATTTGATTTTTTTTTTAAATTAAAAAAAAATAAAAATTCTATTTTTTTCCTATAACTACCCAAGTCATTAAACAACATTAAATAACATTAAACAATATTAAACAACATTAAACAACATTTAGTAACATTAAACAATATTAAAAAAAAACATTTAACAACATGAAACTCAAATAACATTAAAAAAAAGATTCTTTATCGACAAGAAATCTGTAAAGTTACTCACACATAGAAACGTGGCACTCGAAATTCAAGACGTAAAATTATTGAGATTCCAACTCGAAAAATTATTGACATTCCATCTCAAAAAATTATTAAGGTAATTTAATTTAAGTAACCATATTAATCAATTAAAATAATAAATTATATTTAGTCCTATGACTCCTTGACCTCTTGGTTGGAGATAACTTTTTATTACAGAACTATATTTGACCTATGGCCCTCCAACCCTCCTTCAGTTGAAGCATGGGAACTGGAATGGACACAAGGACAAGGGCAACTAAAGCCCTTTCCTTTCAGTCGTTATTAAGAGTGCCTCCTAACAACTCATCACTTAGGCCAGCCGTACATTATCATTATTTTTTCTTAGTTATTATTTTCTTTTCTTGTCCAACCTTTTATTCCCTCCTATTTAGGCTCCAAAAATATCATGTATGCCTTGAATTTAAGCCATCACCCAAATATCGTTTGACCCCCAAAATTTCTTTACATCCGGACGGGCATGCTATAGTCGTAACCAAGAGTGATCAAGTGACGATGATCTAGCGGCATAATCGTTAAATATTATGCTAGGGACATTCACTCAAGCCACGTTGAGGGTTGTTAGCTGTTGATGCATTGTGAGCTCTCTTTTTCACATAGGTTAATGTACACACGTATAAATAACTAACAATCACTCACATGTACTGTTAACTATTGTGCTTGGCATCTCTTATTTTTACTAGGTGCAATACCAGAACAGGTTTAAAAGAATATCATATATGGTTTTGTAATTACTAGGTTTGGCTAGTATTCACATGCATGTTGAGCCAAATATGGTATAGTTATAGCTCTCTTTCCCTCCGAGCAAGTTAAAGGTGTCCCAAATACCTTTGAGGATATACACTACTACATACCCCACACGTACACAGGTCTAGAGGCAAGTTATGTGTGTGTAGGGTTTAGGGTTTTAGGATTCAGAGACACGTTGTTGTGGTGTCCACGTATTTCAACGATTTGAACCATCTATTTTTAAGTCTTCTTTAAAAGAGCATGTTTACCAAAACTCACTCAAATCTAAAATCATATGACAGTTGGATTAGATTTAGTGTTTCTTTATAGAATCATATTCGTTTATTTTCTTCATCACAAATGAATGTCTTAATAGTTTTGGATTTGTCTAGTTCTTTGCAATGATAATCTATGAATGATGTACTAAAATATAGACGGTTTGAATTGTTGAAATACATTACAAAGTGACTTACAAAATAAGTGTCAAAATGTATGTAAAAAAGATGTCCCCGGATTTTAATCCTGTATGTATATATGTGTGTGTAAATTATTATTAGTCCAATCCAATCATAGATGGGGTTACCTTGTGCAATGTCCTCGTGACCACATGTCTCTAAACCTTAACTATTTGATAGGGTAAGTCTGTAAGACAACTTCAGCATTTGATTTTTGGTACAAACAATAATGCATGCATTTTTTTTCTTTCTCAAAGACAACAAGGAACATCCCATCACATTATCATGATCAAATTGTATTTGAAAATTCCTGAAAGTATTCTCTGCCATTCTCAAAAATAGAAGAAATCCAACTATTGCTACGAAGGACAATAAAATGACCCGACGTTTGTAATGGTTTGTTTGCTTTATCTCGCTTTCCTAAATTATTGCCTTACAATTTGCCAGTCACCCTTATGACAACACTGCATTTTATCATGTCCAAAACCAACCTTTTGTCTTGACAAATTTGTGTTTCTTTGATCATGTGGAAATAGCTATTAAGAGTCTTTTTATGCATGTAATCTACTATTGAGAAAAGACCGGTTTATACTACGTAATGTAGATTGGTATCTGATACCATTGGATACGAAAGATAGTAATTAGAGAGGAAGATAAAATAACGACGTATTGACAATGTTGCTTTCTATCTTAATTAATAGGCCAAAGAGGTGACTCAAGGCAACTTTACAACACTGTCTGTTGGCCTAAATTTTCTCAACTGACAAATCTCTATCATTAGAGGTACTAATACACATGGCTTGTTATCTTGTGATTTCGATTGAAGAATTTATACGAATTTGGATGTTATCCACAGAAGGAACATGTGAACCTACAAGAGGAGCTGCATTACCCAAAATAAAGTTAACCCTAGGAGATACCCTAGTTTCTAAGGCCAATCCCAACAAACATTTTTTGGATGTTGCGTATGTGTCGTCGATCGTAGTTGCATAGCAACGTTGGTAACTTTTCTTTATTGGCCAGAGAAAAGAACAGAAAAACAAAACAAAAGAACTCTAATAATGTTAGGAATAATCTTCTTAGGCTTAATTTGGATTGAGAAATTTGAAATAAAGGATTTGGTTTCGACACCAAGACTCGGTATATTTGCGAAACTAGAAAACATCGAATGGAATGTATTTGAAATAACTTAGACGAAATGGATTTTAAATAACTATATGCAAGGAATCATTTGAAATCCATTTGTTTCCTTCTCATTTAAATCTTGACATGTAAGAATTGTGATAATCTAAACAAAAGTTTTCAGTTCTATAATCGCTCCATCGAAGCCGGAAAATATAGTTTCATTGATTCATCTATGGTGTGACACCTCTCCTACTTTTATTAATATTATAAGGTTGCTGCTTCTCCAAAATTCTTTACATGTCACTCAATAGTTTTCACTTTGAAAAATTCTCCAAAATTCTTTAAATTATAAGCGGTGGATTGACAGAAGAGACATTGATGGGGTATGTGGTTTAAGGTTCAAACTACAAGGCCCACAGATTCAACTGCACATGACATATTAAAGCTTCTTCAAAGTGACCATACGCATACTACTATTTAGTCATGTTTCCATCCAATTTTTTAATTAGACACAATTGATAGTTACTAAACTATTTCATGGCCATTTATCCTGCCCAACTGGAGCAGGACCTACTAGCTTAACTACTTAACTACAAACATAATTTACTGTTTCAATCACTCAGATTTTGAATAAGTGCTGGGATTCTAATATATTTTGTTGATATAAGGGAGGCATGTAATTCACATGGTTAAGAGAATTTAACTTGTATCCATGATTGTTCGAATTCTTATTCTTTAATCAGTTGCATCAAAAGACAAAAAAAAATTCTAATTTATCGAAAGAAATGCTTTTAGTGATGAGGGGTGCACTTCAACATGTAATAAACTTTAATCTCTTTTAGTTCCAAGAACTCGAACTAAAATCTGAGTCCTACTTTTTGGTCTTGCTTGTATAAAAAAATATAATAAAATGCCTTCAAAACCTATGATTATTTTGATACAAGCAATATTGAGGAAAAAGATATGAGGAAATCTGAAGTACAGAAGTAAACACTTAACCAATTAAACAACAAGCTTCTTGCTTCGACCTACCACATTTAATCTCTTTTAGTTACCGCTGATATTTTAGTAAAGCTAGGCATTGGTTGAAGTGTGATTAGCATATCATAATCTTGACAATCTTTTGCGCCAGCTCAAAAGAGAGACAATGATTGGTTACTCTCATGTACCCCACTCTCCAGCTTGGGATTGAGGACGCATGGAGTCTGAGCAGTAAAGGCACAAAGGTGCGGGGAAGAAAATAAAAAGAGGGTCCCTGAGAAGGCTGGCATTGGCACCACAATCCCCATCCTCTCCCCGCGCACCCCTTCTTTTGCCTCACCAAAATTACAATTATAATCCTTCACTTCGTTAGGAGGTTGTCACTTTCACCCTCACAATAGGGTTACTTAGGGTATAACTTATGGCATACCCTAACCCACCCATGTTACAACTTAGCCAAAACCTGCCCATTGTCCCCACTTTTTTCTATAAAATCCTCCCCACTCCATTTCATCCCCTAAACCCTACTTAACCTCTTCACCTTCATCATCATCAAACCCTCTCCTTCAACTTTAATCTTCCTAAGATCATAAAAAATGTGTTCCTCGAAACCGAAATTGCAACGAAGTGTTAGTGTCTCTGCAATGTCCGCGAAACTGATCAACCAGCGTCCAGTTCTCCAGCCAACCGGCAACCAATTTCCAAGCTTGGAACAAAAAAAGTCTCCTAAGAAAAGCTCCCAAGAAACTAATGTTCCAACTCCTCTTCCTTCACCAGTTCCAACTACTAAAACTAAGGCCTCACTTTCTCCTCCTATCTCTCCCAAGTTGCCTTCACCTCGACAGCCTGCGTTTAAGCGAGGTAAGGATCCCAATCAGCTGAATTCTAGTGCTGAGAAGGTTGTAATGACGCCTCGTTGTGCAACCAAATCCACAAATTTTTTGAAAAAATCGAAGAAATCTAGTGGCGTTGCACCTTCTGCTGAAAGTGTGTTGAAGAATATATCGTCTTTGATAGTAGAGGCACCAGGAAGCATAGCAACTGCAAGGAGGGAGCAAGTAGCAACAATGCAAGAACAGCGAAAGATGCGAATTGCACATTACGGAAGAATAAAGTCTGCCAAGTATGAAGGGAAAGTTGTTCCTCTTGATTCTTCACAACCGAATGATTTCAGTCAAGAGAAAAGGCGATGCAGTTTCACCCCTAATTCAGGTATAAAATTTAGCAGAAGTACTAACTTTAAATTTCTATAGACAAATTGTTGAAGTTATCAAGTTAATAAAAAAGTTGAAAAAATGTGTTTGCTTGCAGACCCAATATATGTTGCTTACCATGATGAAGAATGGGGAGTTCCCGTCCATGATGACAAGTAAGTCTCTCTCTCTCTCATCCCAACTGTCTCTCGCAGACACACATACATGTTTGAAGCTACGGAAAATATGTACAAATAGAACCGGTTCTAATATTTTAATTAAAAATATGATTGAATCCCCAATTATTTTATTTTATTTTATTAAAACTTGTAAGCTTATCTATTTGGACACATTTCCCTTGGAGCTAAATAGCTAACTTTGCTTGCTCACATTTACAGTATGTTGCTTGAATTGCTACTGTTAACTGGTGCTCAAGTGGGATCAGATTGGACTTCAGTCCTGAGGAGAAGGGAAACATTGAGGTGTGTGTGATTCCAAAATTTCGTTACTCTTCTTAGGTTCTCTATATGTATGTTATAATGGTTCCACTAATAATAGCTTTGAGACATTTTATGATAAAACCTGCACCTTTTGGGCGCACTGGAATGTATTTTTGAAGTCTTAAACAACAGCTACTTCGTAATCTTAACTAATCTAAGTGTTTCCTTATGCAGGGAGGCTTTTTCAGGGTTTGATGCAGATGTTGTGGCTAAATTTAGTGAAAAGAAGATAATATTGTGTTCTGATTCTGGCATAGATATAAGCCTTGTTCGAGGAGCTGTTGACAACGCTAAGAGAATTCTTGAGGTACTATGAGATACAACTGGATCATAATCCCCATCAAACATTTGATACATCTTTCACATTTACTAGTCAAGAAGTGATTTCTGCACTTTTTCACCCTTTGTGCTCGACTCTCTTTCTTTCTAACCATTTGATAAAGGGAGTGCAAACAGTGAAAATAAGAGTGTGGAAATCATTTCCTTTACTGGTCTTGACATAAAGTAAAAAAAAAACGTAATAAAGTGATTTTGATGTGAATATGATGTCTTAGTTTAAACTAACTTTACAGATAAAGAGGGAAGTGGGATCATTTGACAAGTACTTGTGGGGATTTGTGAATCACAAACCAATATCTACCCAATACAAGTCATGCCACAAGATACCTGTGAAGAACTCCAAGTCAGAGGCCATCAGCAAAGACATGGTTAGAAGGGGTTTTAGGCACGTCGGTCCCACTGTGATTCACTCCTTCATGCAAGCAGCTGGCCTCACTAACGACCACTTGATCACCTGCCCAAGGCACCTCCACTGCATCCCTTCACCATCATCACCCATGATTTGATCACAACAGTTCTGATGGAACACACATGTTTGCTTAGATGGCATAGAATAGCTAGGAATATCCAAATTATAGCATAATAAGCTTATTCTCTAACTCTAGATGTTTGGTTTGTAGTTTGTAATATAGTTGTTGTTTGTCTTTAAGCAAGGTAGAAATTCTCTGTGCATGATGTCTGTTCTTTTCTAAAGGACGGATTTTGCATCAATAATGTAATTTGCAACTTATGGAAGACAATCTTATCTATCAATGTTATCGACATCTTATCAAAAGTTGTCTGGTCCTTAAATTCATATCCAGAGAAGTACTTTTAGTGGGAGCCTAAGAGGGCTTGGGAGATGAAATAGGGACCTATTGTGGAAGACAAGCAGCATGTGCTGGTGGGCAAGGGTAATGGCAAGTGTATGGGTATGGGATGAAATAGCTTTCAGTGGTTGTGGATGACCACCACCACCAACATCACCACCTCTATTATTTGTTTTGCTTTTAACAAGATTGTGAAGAATAATCAGTACAGGTAGGACTGTTCGGGCCAGCCCTTCCAAAGCCATGGACCATGATTTATCCGTCTATCTAATCCTCTTTCCACTTGAAGTGGATGAGTAGTGTCAGTTCTTCGCTCAGAGATATAAAAGCTGCCTTTATGCACAAGGAGAAACACAAGTCCTTAATTCTATATTTTTCGTTTTTTTTTGTTTTTTCCCTTTGCTTCTAGATTCTGACCTTTTTGGGATATTTGTATCATAAATTAATATAAAGTCTGGGTTTATGTTTGTTTTCACGAAATTAAGGTTTTGACTTGATATTCATAATCTAATTTAAAGGGAGTGCTACCAATCTTCTTATCCGGATCTACCGGCTTTGTCTTAGTGGCTCTCATTTTCATCGTGTAATATTCTTTGTTGATCAGTATTGTCTAATTTTTAGGTCACTCTTCACATATCAACTATCTAAATAATCAACAAATTAGTCGCTTAGTATTACGGTCTAGTGATATTCCCTTTCACTGGTAAGTGAGAGGTCTTAGGTTCGATTTTCACTGCCACAACCCAGTCCGCATAGTAAGATATTGTCCGTTTTGGGCCACATCCTCATGGATTTGTTCTTGGGCTTCCACCCAAAACGCATCTTACTATAGGGAGGTGTGCATGTACATATAAGGCACATCACCTCCTCTCCCCCGGGTGATGTGTGATCTTACAATCCACCTCCCTTAGGGGCCCAACATCCTCGTCGACACACTTCCGACCGGGGAGTGACTTTGATACCAAATTGTCACATCTCAGTCCGCATAGTAAGATATTGTCCGCTTTGGGCCACGCCCTCATGGATTTGTTCTTGGGCTTCTATCCAAAACTCGTCTTACTATAGGGAGGTGGGCATGTACATATAATGCACATCACTTCCTCTCCCCCGGGCGATGTGGACTCTTACACTCACCCCCTCCCTTTAGTGTAGATAATATCGATTGTTCAAAAAATAATCAACAAATTAAAAATTATTTGATCATTCAATAACACTGATAAAATTTCAATGTTTAAGTGATAACATGATTCATTTATTAAGTAAATATCTGTAAAAGGACTAAACGACTTTGAATTTAATTAATTTTATTGCACATATGATCTTTAAATAATGACTAAGTAAATAAACGAATAAGATCATTGTACTACATTACAATATGAGAATATTACTAGCATTCCTCTTAATCTAAACAATGTAGGGGAGGATTCACATTCAAAGTATTCACACTAAGGACTGAAAAATATTAAAGAACGTAGCTCGAAGCACAATAGTTTCTTAGTTTTTAGGGTGGGTATTCGGGTCTGGTGTTCACCCGGGTGAAGAAATGGTGTAGTGGTGCGATCCACAATAGGTAAGGTTTGGACGACTCAGATCGTTAAACAATTTATAAATTCAGGAACTCAAATTATGAGCCCCCGACCATTTGAGAAAGAAAAAAAAACTAATTAATTCCATACGAATAGTTGAATGGTAATATATATATATATATATATATATATATATATATATATATATATATGATCTAAGCATCTTCTCCATGTGGTGAGTAACATACTTTTCTACTTTTCCTTGTTTCTGTTATGTTTGTGCAAAACATTGCATATGGATGAGGTGTATGATATGATGAGAGTTAATTCATGACCGTAACATTTGCAGGTAAAGTGGCATTCGGTGGACCTAAAGTTTTAGTTGACATTCCCAAAACTCCCACCAACAAAAAAACATAGGATTCCCTGCAGCTTCTAATCAAAACCTTTTCTTTTGCCTCTTATTTTTATTGAAGAATCTGCTTCCCAAATACAAATAGTATCCCTGAAATTACAGAATTTAAATTTAACCTGTTCGCCATCTTTTGATTGTGGTTGTTGGGAATTTGGAATGGATTCCAATTCAAGCCGGATATTGGATGTCAAGTTGGAAATCTGGTACTACACGTGAGGCAAGTTTATGGTCAAATGAATTCCAAATCTTTTTTTTTTTTTTACTCTAAAATACAAGACAAATACACATCTAAATGCATCGTTACTAAACTGCATCCATCGATTTAATTTCTTCTATAAATTATCATCCATGACAACTGAACTCATAATTTCCTATAATAAAGTCACGACTGCATGTCACTAAACCAGGTACTCTTGTACATTTGCATACATCTATTTCAAACATGATTTTTTTTTTTTTTGAAACGTTTCAAACATGATGTTGTAATGAACCCATGGTGATTTTGTTTCCTGATGCAAATTACAAAATATTCCCAAGTGATTCTGTTGACACTAAAAATTACCAAGTTTACATGACATGCTTGTTGTGCAACTAAAGAGCTAAGTACGTCCTTCTGGTGAATGCGGGCGTGGCGTGCCAACCCACGACCGAGCTCGGTCAGGCAAGTAGAATATATGTGATGGTGGTGTCGAATGCACTCTGACACTTTTATTTTTTTGTCAACCAATAAATTTTGTTAAATTAGATGTCAGATTAGTCACCGATGGGATATGAACTCACACCGTCATGCAAAAGCTCAACTCCTTTCCACCATTATGGTAATGGACCACTTGCCACTGCTGACTTCTGTACTCAAGCGATCACGGCTGAGGAATGCGTCTCGACCTGGGGTTTTAGAACATGAAGACAAGATTGCTTAAATCACTACATTGTTCAGGATCTCTTACACTAGGTTCAGCTGCCTCGACTATATTCGTGAGAATATAGGTGCGCTGAATCCGTATCAAGCTGCAAGGACACAGGTACTCATCAATTATAGGTCTCATTATTAGATGTTGCTGCTGGGATTTCCAAGTCCAATTCAAACAAGGTGCTGTTTGTATTGAGCCCCTTTTCGATCACCCGAACAGCCCTTTAGCCGTTGAAGAAGAAGACGACTCAGAAGACCAAGCATCTCCAACAACGCCCTACCAGAAAACGTCGTATAACATAAGATGTTGATCAACCCCCACCACTGATCACCAACATTGCTTTCCCTGCTTGCACCATTTCTCACAAAGATCGCAATCACTGGTATCGACAAATGCCACCAGCCGCAGATTGCAATCACTGGTGTCCCTTTTGTCGATACCCAATGCCGCCAGCCGCAGCCGGTGTTGAATAACAGGGGCCGGCCAGCGGAGCACAACTTCAGATGAATAAACAGTAAACATAAACCGATGTAACATTCTTAACTAGGGTGGCTAAGAAACTAGAAACAACCAAGTGACCAAGCAAAATTACTTCAAAATAACATAAGCATAAAGCCGGTGCAACAACTAAAGTTATTTGTATCCAGATGTGAAAGGGTGAAAGAAATAAACAAGACAAAATTTGCAGCATAACATCCAAAGTAATTAGGTATCCACTACAAAAACATAGGTGAAAATCGTCAAATAATTTTAAAGCTTGTTTTCAACGCGACAATTTAAGCCGTGGCTGTGGCTTGTGCTGCCGCTCTCTTCTTGGCCTCTTCAATAATGGTAAGCTTAATACCCTTACCCTTGGGAAGGCTTATCCATGGCTTAGTCCCCTTGCCAATTGTGAACACATTGCCCAACCGAGTTGCAAACTCATGACCACTGGCATCCTGGACATGGATTGTCTCGAAGCTGCCCTTATGCTTCTCCCTGTTCTTGATTACTCCAACACGGCCCCTGTTCCTTCCTCCAGTCACCATGACCACATTGCCAACATCAAACTTGATGAAGTCAGTGATCTTGTTGGTCTCCAAGTCCAGCTTAATGGTGTCATTTGCCTTGATGAGAGGGTCTGGGTAACGGATTGTACGGCCATCGTAGGTGTTTATGTATGGAATGCCCTTCTGTCCAAACTGCACAGATCGGACTTTACAGAGCTTGAACTACAGGAGATCAAGAATATCAAAACATTAATACATCAATTCCATAACTTGCAAACGCTGAAAACAAGTAATTATGTTATCCCATAAAAGCATAACTTTTGATATATTTTTACGACGTTTCTATATACAAACTTGAAATGACAATTAAAGAGACAAACTTATCCACATGGACAATAGATCTGCAGCCAGTGAACCTTGAATGGTTCCATATATTTTCATCAAGAAAAAAATATAAAGCAGGGCAAGTGGTATTCTTAACATGTCTGCTTAGTTTGATCAATTCTATCAAGTACACGGTGTTTAGGTGCTGAGTTATCTTGTACAGACGATCATAATAGTTCATTCATATATAAAGACTATCAACTCAGAAAAGCATGTTACTTTAACAAAGAAAACCACCATGAGACAAATGCAAGAGGAATGAAGAAAATAACCTTTGCTTCTTCATCCCTGATTGAATGGAGACGGAACCGACCCTTGGTGTCATAAAGAAGACGGAAGTTCTCATTTGTCTTGGGGATTGAAACAACATCTGAAAACGTAAAGCACAATACTCATAAATTTTCCTTTTCACAAGTCATAGGTAAATTCTGAACCCTAAGTAAAGATGAAAAAAGAATGAAAAAAAAAACACAACTAAACACACAAATAGATCCCAAATTACAAGCAAGAAAGTTTCCTATGCCAGGACACACATTGGTCACTCTCCACCAATTAAAATGTCCAACCAACGTACAAAATACTTCCTATGATGGTAGAAACATTCTCTAATTGATAAAGCACAAACATGTCTTATTATATGGAAAACTGGTCGAAATTAAAAATAGGTTCTCTAAAGCAGCCATCAATTGATAACCAAGTAGCTAGTTGTCCATGAGGATTGTTCAAATTAATTATCATAGAGCTGATATAACAACATGAGTA